CCCCCCCCCCCCATCCCAAAAAAAAAGAAATAAAAAACTGGATATCTAGAAAATCGATCATCCAAAAAACTAGTCGAAAAAAAAAAAAATCTCAGATGTTCATAGAATTAGAATCCCAATCTTCAGCAAAAGACTTAAACCCGAACATGCAGTGTGGAAATGTGCCTCAGAAGTGAGGAAACATTCCGCATTCATCTCATCTAAAATTCACAAAAAACTAGTTGAAAAAAAAAAATCTCAGATGTTCATAGAATTAGAATACCAATCTTCAGGAAAAGACCTAAATCTGAACATGCAGTGTGGAAATGTGCCTCAGAAGTGAAGAAACATCCCGCATTCATCTCATCTAAAATTCAAAAAAAGCAAAGTGATATCAATCTGTACCTATTATCTGCCATTCCGACCTAGTTGGTCTCCTCCTGTTCTTCGAACTCCTCCAAATCTTCATTGTAGTCCTCGTCCCCCACCTCCACTTCTTTATCGCCATCATCGCCCTTCATACGGTAAGTCCCGGGCACCAATTCACCATTCAACCGTGTACGTTCCGGTATGATGTTATCAGGATCCATCTCAGTAAGAAGCTCATCAGTGAGATCGATTTCTTCATCTTCGGCTTCCCCGCTTCCCTCCTCCTCAGCGCTAGAATCCCCTGGTTCCTGAACACCCTCGTCGTCGATGTTCTTTCCCTTATCTACCAGCATCTTCTCCTTCCCCTTATCCGCCGGGAATTGGACGGATTGCCCCATCTCGTCATCTTGTATGGCGTCGGCCGACTCTTCGAGGGGAGCGTCGAGCTTCTGCTGCTTCAACATTTTCTCATCATCCCCTTCCTCAGCTGGAACGGGATCGGGCTTTCGCTTGAGAGGCGATTGGAGACCTTCCATTTCTTGAGGCATTGGGAACGGGCGAGATACGAAGGCTAGGGATTTAATAGAGCATTGGACCCAAAAAACCCGGGAAGCTATTTTCAAAATTATATTACAATTTTCAAAATTACATAAATAGGTACATACATACATCCCACATAAGAAATAGGACAGCCTAAATTTTTTAAATTGCATTTTTCGCTCCCTAACTCCTCCATTAGGTTATCCCATTTACGTCCCCATGAACGCCTCCTCTCCTCTCTGTCAAAGAAAGAATTATGATGTGCGAATAATGTATGCATGCAGATTTAAGTACAGCTAAAAAAATACACCAAATGCAATCATGTTGTAGTAAATTCCACATGCATGTGGATTCCACACCTAATAATTTTTCCTGTCGAAATGCGTAATTTTTCTACATCTTCATCCACCGATGACGTAGAAGCCTAATAGAGCCCTCACCAAAGCGACGAAGGCCATCGTTTCATTATTTTCTTGCATTATTTTATATAAACCTAAATCGATCTTCACTCCTTTGATTTCAGATTTTAAATGAAGACTAAATATATTTTTGTTTAATAATATTCATATTCTCATGTATTTAAGGATAAACTGTTTATCCTGAAACGCGATCTGCACTTACTGTAAAAACTCAAACGCGGTTCCGGATAAGCTGGTGAAATGCTTGAACTAAGTGGTACGGCGGCGTTTTGAAAAGTTTTATTGGGTTGGGATTCTTACCTTGATTATGATGTTAAGAGAAGCACCATAGGAACGGGTGATGACGTTTATAATTTTTGGAAATGCTTTTAATTATATTTCATACTACATTTTCTGTTCGATCTTCTTAAAAATTATTACGGCATTTTAGTGAAAGCTTTAATTTTTTATACTTCTTCATGAAACCCCTTGCATGTCCATAACTTTTAATCTTTAAACTTACATGCCTAGAGAGAATTCAGGTAAGTCAATACGGAAGAAGGCGATGATAAAAAAAAAAAAAACAAGAATTTGTTTATATGTGACCAAAAATGTCCGCCTGAATCTAGACAAGAGTCGATGATAGCAGAGGTCACCTCATTCAGCCGGTCGGCAATCTCACTAGATGGACGAAGCAATGAAAATGTGTCAGACATACTAAAAGGTGTCAAACATATAAACATGTGTCAGATATACGAAAAGTATCAAATACAAAAAAATGTGTCGATGGAGATAATAATAACATGTAACTCACAGGGACAATGATGTAATTTTTACATCTTCATTCTTTTATCGTCTATAAATAATAGGATATTTTCATATAAGGCAACTCATGTCATTTGGGACTTTCAGTCATTTAGGCATCGCTCTCTTCTTCTCTCATAACAATTTCTTTCAATAAATCAAATGAGTCTGAGAGCCCGAGGAACATCCTCACTTTGCCCCAATGAGATTATTTGTTGGTTGTGTTTCCCCTTTCTCTCTCTCTCTCTCTCTCTCTCTCTCTCTCTCTCTCCTGTTTTCTATGCTATACTTCTTGGGCATCATCTATATTAAAGATTTGGATTCAAGAATCTTCAAATAGTTAGACACATGAGGGTGGTTGGGGGGGGGCTCGTATAATAGCCTCCGACCATTCTTTTAAAATATTTATGTATGTATGTATATATATATTTATATTGTGTGCGTGTGATTTTACTACACTTTTCATTTTTATAATCTACGATTGTCCACACACATTAGGTGTGGTGATGGTTAAGACTTCTGTTTGCTCGTCTATTCTTATCATGTTGGTGTCTATTAAATATGCCCTAAATTTGTTGTTATCATGTAGCTAAGGCTCTTAGTTGATAAATTCTCTATATTTTGACAAACATGATTTAATTGAGTTTCAAATTATGGTTTTGTTTGCAATATTACTAAATTAATCTTATTAGTTTTTTCTCTTCTATTTCTATTTTTGTGCATTAAAGTAGTTGGTAAATCATCTTATTATGATCACAGTGTGATATGTTTATGTTTATAAATATTTTTATTTGTAGTTATTTTGAGTTGAAATTTTAGATATGTGATTGAACTTTTTAAAACCTTATAATGTCCTAACTAGAAAATATCACCATAATTGTCAACTTTTGGCTTCTAGTTTTTGTTGCTTTAAGAAGACCCTAAATGTCATGATTATCAAGTAGCATGAGCTTCTCACCATCTTACCTAATTTTTTTCTACTTCTATATATCTCACTTTAAATCTTTTTGATGTAAAATCCTTCACTAATGATTGCTTTGAAGGGTTTTTAATAAGCTTTTGATTGACTTTTCATTTACATATATATTACATAATTCATATGTATTTACATATCTAATAGCTCAACTATGATTATGATGTTGTCTCTAAAGATTAAAATTTATATGTTGAGTTTTGACTATTATTAGGCATACATGGTGAAATCACTTTGTCTCTTTTTTGTATTTATCTTTTGATATTCAAAATGAAGAATCATCATAGGATTTTTTGGATTGAACGTGACGTAAAATAGAAGTAATATTGTCCATATTTTTCTACAAGCTGCATACTTCTATTCTTTATGCATTGGTGAAGTGCATCCATTTATCATTGAATTTAACTATTCTTTTAAAATTTTATAATATATAAAACATAAAAATTGAGTGAAACATATGTCCAACTCATGTTACGTTGTGATAAACAATTAATTGTATCTCACAATCTTGTGCCAAGTCTCACCTCATACTTCACATCTAGGGTTAAAAAAGTTAATTCCTGAAACCACTTCATTAAGGATTTGCAGCAACTAATGTCGAGGATAATGAGTTGAGTGAAGTTGTTTTAACAAAAAAATTAAGTAAAGTTATAATGCTTTATGCAAAGATTATTTCATTCCAGATTAATGATCATAATGTTGAAGGCATAATCACACAATATTCATCAACCAATTTTTAGGATAACATCAGTACGAGCGAATATATACATATATATATATATATTTATATATATATATATATAACTTTAAAAAATGGTTTGTTAAAGTAATTTTAAATATTTTATTAACATAAAGTTATTTCACTATAGAAATATTTTTGCTTATGATTTCTCAAAGGTTAGTAACTTCACACAAAATTTGCTAGGAATTTTGAAATTTGATATACAATTACCTCAAATTATTGAAGGGTATGAAACAATGAGTAGTGGCTTAAGTGATAATAACAATGATACCAATAGTAAGGTGAATCATGAAAAAATTGGGGAGCATGATAAGGCATTAATATATGGGCATGAACTTTTACAGGAGCATGCATTTTGTAATCACTGAATAGTAAATAAAATGATTAGTAACAATGATATTATACAATATTATCAAAAAACACAAGAGTGCGAAGATAATTATGATTTTGACGGTCCTAATTAGCACATCATCTACCCAAGTATGATTTATTTTGTATGAACTGTTAAAAACATAAGCTTTTTCGCAATAAAAATGAACTTCAACATGCAATCGTCGAGTGATCAATTATTAATAATGTCTATTATAAAAATTATTAACTTAAATAAGACTCGGCTATAGTAATATGTTTGCAACATAATCACCATTTTAGATCATATCAATGGATTGTGCATGCTTATAGTAGGAAATGTTTAGGGGTGCATAGAAGATTTTTACTAAAATGTTCCAACATAATTACACCCAATCTAATATAATGTCTCGATACTATCAATGTACGTCCATGTTCATCTCACTTTTCATTCTTATATTTATCTTATAATAAATGGTTTTAAAGCTGAAATGGATCAGTGTTCGTACTGAGTTTAAATTTAACGTAAAAATATCATATATTAATGCATGAGATGCTAGAAAGAATGCAATAATGACAATTCTTGGAAGCTAGAAAGAGTCATATAATTCATTATGTTGATTTATGGAAGTAATATTATCTATAATGTCAGAATGTATTTATAGAATTGATGTTTGATCATCCGACAGATTCTTAAGGCTTATTTATGGATCGAATCTGTACCGACATGAAGAAATCATGCCTTTCGACTTTATTTTTTTTAATTGCATTTAGAAGGGGCCATATTTATCAAGTCTATAGTCTCATGGATTGATGTTGGAAGGAGCCATCCTCATTTGCTTTACTAAGACTCAAGTCTCTTGTACACTTGTACTTTTGGTCACTATTTTGTCTATTTTTGAGCTTCTATTTTGCTCTGTTGCTCTATTTTTTTTTTATCACATATAATATTACTTCTTATAAAGAATGACATTGGGCCAAGCCCACACCTTTGCCAAACAATGAAAAAAGCCCATCGGATCATTCGGCCCAAAGCGAACCAAAAAAGATGCCACCTTTTACAGACCGTTCGTTGACCACACGCTTACCAAAATATTCTGCATTCCAGATTTGTTTTTTTTTTTTTTGTAATAAATATAAATTGAAAAATATTATACCATCATACAACCCAAGTCCACATACTAATTAGTGTTCTAAATTGAGTTTATTTTTAAATAATATGTTCTGTTTTTAAGAAATTCATTATATCTTTTATAGATATATATTTGTCTTATATATTATTTAGATAATGATATACAAATACAAGCACCTTAATATCGCACATATTACTCTTTGAGCTTAACTTCTCCAACAAAAAATACCTATTTTATGACATAATTTTTCGTAATGATATTCAACTATAATATTGTTTTGTACATTTATTCCTGACATAATGATTGAGGATGCAGTCTCCCATTGTAAGATCTTAAGTTCAAATCATCCATATTAATCTTTGGGCTCTTCTTTTTTTATATATGTATAATTTACTTTTAAAAAAATTAATATGTAAATTCCCCACGCCACCTAACGTTCTTCCCCCAATCGGTGCCATCACCACATCTTCCAGCCAACTCGCTTAAAGGACAGAATCAGCCGTTGAAGCCAACAACCATTCCATCCAACAGTCCTCAGCTGTCCTCCTACGTGATACATAAATACAAGGGAGTGCTTACATAAATGCCATACAACTCTTATGTATTTACATATCTTCAACACCTGAACACCAATATTTACATACATGCCACTCTAATCGTTAACAACACACAAAAATACATCTATGGGATATTATGGATATTATGTGTAAATATCAATATTATGTGTAAATATCAATTTTTTTTTTTTTTATGTTAGTTATGTATGCATAAGAATTGTGTGGATATATAAATATATATAATTTTAGGTGTTAGATATGTAAATAGATAGGAAGTAGGGGGACATGAACATACATGCCGCTTATAAAATATATAAATAGTTGGAATTATTTTGACTCTTTTATCATTTTGCAGCCATTTGGGCAAATTCCTTGTGTTGTGGACGGTGATTTTGAGCTCTTTGGTGAGTGCTCAATTTCTGGTCTTTTTTTTTTGTAAGGAAATAATAGCTATTATATCCAATTATTTTTATTTTGGGGCTTTTACATGTATACCACTCAATTCCTATGAATTTATATATCTCACAACAAAGATTTTTTTTTTTTTTTTTTTTTTTTTTTTTGCATTTATACCACCCAAATATTTCATACCACTTCGAAAATGTCTCCATTTTAACTTTTAAAATGTAAGTTATACCTTCCAATGTAGATAAGATAGCAAGTTGAAGGTTAGGTGTTAGATATGTAAATACAGAAATTGAGTGGTACCTATGTGAATTTTCTTTTTATTTTTATTTTTAATTTCTGCAAGTAAGGATATCATTGTTGATATTAAGAATTAAGGGGAGGAAAACAAGATTTTTTGTAAATATGAAAATTTGGGTGTTAGATATGTAAAAACATAAAAATATGTGTGCTTGTTGTGTGAATTTTTCTAAATTTTAATAATATAATGGACATATGGAATGCAGAGTTACATGATTTTAAGTGTTTTATTTTTTTTACATTTATACCAATTTCTAAGTATTTACATATCTAACACCTAAAATTTGTTTTTTATATTTATGCCACTTAAATTTTCCATCCCACATCAAAATATCACCATTTTATTTTATTTTTTTTAAAAGTGAAATGTACTCTTTGAAGCATAGTGACATGTATGTAAAAATTAAAGTTTTAAGTGTTAGATATGTAAATACATTAGAATTGAGTGGTTTGTACATAAATCATCCTTTTAAATGAAAAGAAAAAAATTATAAAAGTATCATACCAATCTTATGAATTTACACATTTCATTCTAAAACTTTTATATTTACATACGTAGCATTTTGATGGTTTAGTGTAAAAACCCAAACGTATTTTGACCCGCGGCTTGCGTTTAGTGTAAAAACCCAAACGTAGTTTCGGATAAGCTGGAGAAACGAGCAAACCAAACGGTACGCCGCCCGCAATTATAAGCTGCCCCAAACGGACCCTAAATCTATGCCTAAAGAGTATTATTATTTATATAACATTAATGAATATGAGTGTTATGTGTAAATATAAAAGTTTAGATGTGAGATATCTAAATACATAAAAATTGTATGTTATATATGTAAATTCCCTTAAAAAAAATTTACATATGAACAGTATATTTCATAAATATATTTATCAATTTAACACCCAAACTTTAATATTTATCAATATAACACTTCAGAATACCCATCCCGCTGCTACTAACATCTTCTTCCTCCTCCTCCCGCAGAATCGCGCGCAATCATCCGCTACTTCGCCGGAAAATACGCGGAATCCGGCGCCAAACTACTCGGGGAAACGCCGGAGGAGCGCGCGCTCGTAGACCAATGGATCGACATCGAAGCCATTAATCTGAACCCGCTGATCTTCCCCATTGCCCTAAATCTCTTGATTCTCCCGAAGCAGGGCGTAGCGGGGAACAAGGCTGAAGCCTATTCCTCTGCCAGGAAGCTCTCCGAGGTTTTGAATGTGTACGAGAAGCAGTTATGTAAGACAAAGTATTTAGCTGGGGATGATTTTACGCTCGCCGATCTGACGCATATTTCGAGCTTGGGCGTGGTTGTGGAGAGGTGTGGAATGGGTTGGGTTTTGGATGATAAGGAGCGTGTGAAGGGGTGGTGGGAGGAGATAAGGGCTCGGCCGGCGGCGGGGAAGGTGGCGGAGATGGTGGAGTCGGATGCGCTTCGTTACTGGCCGGGAATGGGGGAGAAAGGGTTTTGAGAGATATTGTCGAGTTCCTGAACGAGTTAGTGCTTAAATTTTGTGGATTTCCGCTGATCATTTTAAAATAAAAAGAAAATGTGAAATTTACATATTTATATAGCAATCAATGCTTTCGCATTTACTTTTCTCATACATGATAAGCACCATAACCTATGTATGAAAGGTAGGGCTCTCAAAACGGCTCCTTGCTCGCGAATAGCTCATGTTTGGCTCGTTAAGAAGCTCATGTTCGGGTCGTTCGCTAAGTTAATGAGCCGAACATGAACAAAATGAACAAATATTTTTTCGTTCATGTCTAGTTCGTTTTGACTTGAAATACTACTAATCAATTATATATATATATACCCTAATCAATTAAAAATATTAATTAAGAAAATAGAATAAAAATTATAAAATTAGTTTCAAATGATGTCTTAAATCTTGCTCCAATTCATGACATCTTATGGTTATGGTTACGTGATTAGGGTTGTCAAAATGACTCTTTGTTCGTGAATAGCTCGTGTTCGGCTCGCTACGCAAACAGCCAAACACGAACACACTTTTTTAACTCAAAATATCAACGATCTGAACACGAGCTAAGCCTAGATTATATTATTTTTATCTTTTCATACATAAGAAAAGTTTCTTTTTAAGTAAAAATCAATGTTTACTAACCGTATGTATTAACATATCAACCGCATAAACTTCATTTTTTATGTACAAACTACTATATTATTATATTTTCAGCGTGAATTGTATTGCTTATAAGTAAAAAATAAAATTTATTTGGTTGATATGTTAATAAAGAAAAATTGGGCGGCATGTTCGTAAATTCCCTCTCAACGTTTTCCTTCTTAGTTGATAAAAATCTTAGAAGGAACATTTACATGCGTACAACAGAAGTCTTGTTAATTCACACATCAAACATGTCATCATCAATGCACATTTTCATGTCAAGTGTTTACATCTAACTTTAAACGTTAGCAATGTAAATTCAGAAGGAATGTGGGACATGTATGTAAAAATTGCCCACCTTCCAATTATCATGAAGGTCACACATAAATTTAAGAAACACCAAAAATATTATAAATTTCAAACTTTATTTCGCTTTAAAAGTTTGATATTATCATTTTCATATAAATGTTTGATATAAATTTGGGAAACACCAAAATGTTGTAAAATTCCAGCCATACTATTTGGCCGAAACTCAGTAAAGTCAAAATTTGGGAAATCAACATACATGCAACTATGGGTGCAAACCAACCGAACATTGTGTTGGGCTCGTTAAAAGACACCAAAGTTCTTTATTCGACTAGTTTGCTTAGCAAGCCCAACACGAGATGTTCGTAAATAAAGTCATTTTGATAACCCAAATCACTCAACCGTAGAATATAAAGTGTTGGGATAAGATTTATTTATGTTAAATCATAATTTATATATATATATTTCAAGCAAGCCAAACACGAATTAACAAATTTTTGTTCGTGTTGGGCTCACTTATATATCGAGCACAATAAAGTTGTGTTCGGCTCACTAAACACGAACTTCTTATAAATTGTTCGCACACAACAGGCCATTTTGACAGCCCTGCCCCATCATATCATCTTTAAAATTCAAATCAGGTCCACCATCCACTGGGGAACAATTATTAGCCGAACGACAGCCAAAACTACAATGATTGTTCGTTCAATTTTTGCTAATTTAAATTTGGCAGCGTCTAAATAGATAATTTGAATGAAACTAAAAACAAAAGAATCATTCAATACTGGATTCAATATCACATGACTAAATCAATCTAAAACTCATTTAGAAACTGATTGAAATAAAGCCAAAAAGATGTGACGATAAAATAAAAAATTTTAATGCAAAAATGTCGCAAGCAAAACATCATGCAAACAAAAATCATCACAAATAAATCACAATCAAGTTCTCAACGCTCATTAAAATATATCAATCCAAACACACATGATATTACTGAAAGACGAATGTTCAAGTCCCCTGATGCCATTTAGGGACTCTCAATCACAACTTCTGGCAAGCAGCTATACCCCTCCCCAGTCACCCAAAACATTAAGCAGGTCGTAGAAAACACACATTTCAAGCCAAATCCAATCAAAAACATAGCAAGCAGTAGCAGTAAAGCTACACAAGTCTTGTCTATAAAACCAAAGCCAAGTCTCACGAAAGAGGAAATAGAGTAATAACTGGTAGAATTACTCAACAATAGAACATCACCCGCTTAACATTGTCCTTCAGCGCAGGCAGAGGCCTCACTGCACCAGTTCCGGGCGCTCGGGGGGGCGGGGAGAGCCGCTCGCTGCAGCAGCTCGGCCTGCGGCAGCACTCGCCATTGAGCCACTATCGAAGGTCTCCGGCTTCAAGTAAAACCTTGCCCTAAAAGCGGCGAGATGGGCATAATATGCAGGCGGCACTGTGAAAATAAATAAATAAATAAATAAATAAAATTCAGAGCAGATCTGCAGTTTTCATTTACATTGATTCTTAAATTGAATGGTATCGAGAGAAATTACCAATAGAAACGGATCTTGTGCACCTTGCATAGCTACAGAAAGCAAGTATTAAAAAAGTTAAAATTTAAATTGGGAAGTAAGCGATCAAAATTAACTAAAGATGAGAAGATTCATTACGTGTAGCATAAGTTATTGGTGAGTGTCTGCAGTCCATCAGCAGAGAATTTGTTTTCATCCCATAATACGTGGTAATGAGCAGGCCTGCTAGTACCCTGCAAAAAATTTTGATAATGTGAACTACTAGATTATCATAAAGGGGCATTAACACATACACCCAACTCCTGTATATATACATTTTAAATTGAAATAATTGAGATGACACCCAGTTTCATGCATAGGGAAGGTGTATGTTAAAATTGAAGATTAGGTGTTGGATAAGTAAAAACATAGGAATTGAGTGGGGTATTATGCATGTACATCATCCTATCTTAAAATCATATATGTGATCAGTGCGACAGCTTGAGAGTAGCAAACATATAATTACCTGAATTCCGGCATGACTGCACAGGTAGAAATCAAATTCAGTTGGATGACAAATTTTTGAATCAACAACAGTGCCTGCAGTTTATTAAAAAGTTGACAAACTTTAACATAAAATTACAGGAATAATAAATAAATAAATATAATTCTAGAAAAGAGTGATACATACCTGGAAGGATGTTTCCACTTTTATCGACTGAATGTTGGTCATTATGGTTGTTTGCGAACAATCGGGTGTGGTGACGCTTTTGAACAACCACAAAAGTGACGAGAGGTTGATAATCAGGCTCCAAAGAAGCACACGCCTGTAATATTATCAGTAAAAAACATAAGACAACAGAGAATTTCAATAACAGGAAATTTAAATAAAGGAAATTTAATAGATAAGATACCTTGCAAAGAAAGAACCCCCCCAAAAAAAAAAGCTAAAAAAATTACGGACAATTACATACATGCCATCCTATCCCCATGAAAATTACATATCTGGCACCTAAACTTCATATGAAAATTACCACCATTTTTAACTTTCTAAAAGTGAAAAGCAACCTTTCATGCATAGGTAAGAGATGGCATGTATGCAAAAATTGTAATTTAGGTAATAGATATATAAATATATAATTGAAACATATACCTTGCGTATTGCGTCAAGTTCGTACAAAAGAACCTGATAAAATTGTCCTTCACTCACGCCATCCCTGCATGTAAGGGCACAAATAAAATGTTAAGAAGAAACACCAAATCCACAAATAAACAGAAGCATATGGATCACAGGACCTGTAAAATATTATCCTCTTTGGCTTGAATCCTGTTGCCTTTTTGAAAGAAATAAGAAGCTCCCTGAAAATGTATTGTGTATGTCAAAAAGATATAAGTGACAGAAGAGTCAAATGGAAGAGCAAAGAAAGTGAATAAAGGAAAACACACCCGATCATGCCACCACTTTCATTTTTAAACAAGTCCTGAATGAGCTCCTGGCGATGGGCCTGAGCACAAACAAGTCCTGCATATTTGGTTATCTCTGGCCAATCTTGAGATGCCACAACCTGCCATATGATAAAATAGACGTTATGGGTGGCAACAAAGTTTAGGAAGACATATTATATATACCACTCAATTCTTATGTATTTACATATCTAACACCTAATCTTCAATTTTTACATGCATGCATGAAAATAAAATTTAAAATGGTAGTATTTTTTTATGTTATATGAATATTTTGGGTGGTATAAACGTAAAAATTGTAGGCCAATAGATAAGAACTGTGTGGTGTGTATGTAAATGTCCCTAAAATTTAAAACAAGTATTAAAAATCATCATCAAATGTGCATTAACAAACAAACTTACAGCAGCGATTGATGGGCTAGAGTCTTCTCCAGGGTGAGGATGTGTGACGTCAGCACCAAATATGATAGTGGGCAGGTCATGGACCAATGGTATACGTCTAGATATAGCATCCATGAGTACCGTATTTCGGCCTCCAACCTTCACATTTATCTTCAAAGCAACGTTGGCTAAGTACTGTTTGTTAATCTTCAAAAGATGTCGAGCTAAACAGCATTGCGAAACTAGTCCAAGCTCGGTCTCACATATTCGCTTCAAATCCCCTACACAAACATTTAGAAGCATCAAGCATAAAGAACAAAAATACATGTATAAAAAATCTAAAACACTGCCTCGCCGGGTCTCAAACCACGGATGTAAAAAAAGGAAGGTTGTGTTAAGTAGACTGCAACTAGCATAAATTTTATGGCCTGAATTTTTTATAGTCATATTAAACATCGACCATCTGATGATCCGATTAGAACAATAGATGTTTTAGATTCGACTTATGTTAATAAAGATAGAGATAGATCTAAAAAGATCTGGGTATAAAAAATGATCTTAATTTATTAGAATTAAATAAAAATATGACAATCAATAGGACACAAAAGAGAAAAAGGATTCATGAAAGTTCAGCGGGATAAAGGCTTATTGCCGTTGTTGTTGTTGAAGCATAAAGAATAAAAATTAGGGAAATTTGAATAGGTAGCAAAGAATGTTCATGTGTTTTGGTATCTCACACCTATGCATGAAAAGATGAATTTGAATTTAAAAAGTAATAATAA